TACCACTGTCATCCACTTGGAAGGGATGTAGGAGATCCTGGATAGAGAGGGAGAACAATGTGCAACAAAACTCAAAATCATTTGGAGGGGGAAAAAAAAAAGATTTAAATCTCAGTCATTTCACATTCACTCTATAGTAATCCCTCTCAAAAATTTACAACCAGTTCTTATCTCCTTTAACTAGGAAAAAAAGTCTTTAATAATTGTGTGTGAGAAATTAGGAAGAAAACTTGGAATGAGAATTTAACAGCTCTTTACCAAGAAATGGCTAAAAGTACTGTGACAATTAATATGATGTTATCCCCAATAAACAAAATGTTCACAATGACTCTAAAAAAAAGTCCAGTCTGTGCACCTCTCGACGCCAAGATGTTTGTGGTACTCGTCTTCATATCTGCTGCACGTGGATATAAGTGGAGAGAGAATGGGGATCCATACGTATTGTGAGCACATCAGAGCACAGGTTCACATACAGACTCTCAACTCACACGCAGTCCTCTGAGAACTTTGCACTGAGATGGATCCCTGGGCAGGTGTCCCGTTTGGGGACTTTCGATTGCTTGGAATCACTGCCCTCCTCTCCTCTCATACCCCAGACACAGTGTCCTCCCAGAGCTTAGGTCAGGCTTGGCTAGGTGGGACCAGGTTAGGTCAGGCTCAGCTAGGTATGACCAGCTTAGGTCAGGCTCGGCTAGGCGGGACCAGCTTGTGTCAGGCTCGGCTACATGGGACCAGCTTGGGTCAGGCTTGGCTACGTGGGACCAGCTTGGGTCGGGCTCGGCTAGGTGGGACCATTTTCTCCTCCCCTGTGCCTTTGTCCAAGAAGGACAGGCTCTACCCCTTCACAGCACAGAACTGTCCCTGTGGGGTCTCCACTGAAGCAAACTCGTTGGCACTCCCCAGCTGTCCCAGCAATGGACAGGCCATCCTACCCTCTGGACAGCATCATCCTCTGTATTCCTGGAGACCTTCAGGCCTGTGGTTGGTCTTTGAACAGTTTCTTGGCTGAGCTGTTTGGGGAGTTCCTTCAGCTCCCTTTACGCTGACTTTCATCCCAGGGTCCTTTCAGAAGCCCAGGAGATGCTGTCAGTGAGCACCCCATGTGTACGCACCCCCCGGTTCACACGCTGCACAGGTGGGTGTCTCTGTGCATCCAGGTGAAGTGCTGCCCTCTTTTGTCCTAGGCATTTTGGATGAGAAATCTCAAATTCAGGAGCCATGTTGTTCGGACCTCTTCCTGTTTCCAGATGAGAGTGGCCACGTGGCCCAGGAGCTGGGCCCTGCCGACACCTCCTTCCTTCCCCACCTGATCAGTGACACGGTGGCAGGTGTCCCCACCGAGAACGATGACTTTTGTATTCTTTTTGCACCAAGAGCACCTCTTCAGGTAATACTTGATGACATTATGGAGGCCCTACAAGTGAGGAGCTTGTTGAATTGCCCCAAAGAGTCTTAGAGTCTCTCAGCTCTTCCAGCTGCAAACACTGCATTTGTGATTCGCTGTAGTTCTCTGTGAGCATCTGCCTGGCCTTCCAGGTGTCTCCTTTCCCAGAGGATTGCTCTGTTTGCCACGCTTGCCACAAGGTGACCGAACCACAGGTGTCTCATGTGCTAACTCCCCCAAAGGGTGGCGAGAGCCAGGGCAGAAGGGAGTGCTGCACCAAGGACTCAGCCGCAGACTGGAGAGATGAGATCCAGGATGCAGTTCGTGGGGGGCTGCTCACTGGGGGGTAGTTCCCTTCTCCTAAGTTAGGGGTAAATTTGTAGGTAACTGCCTTTGTTTACTAAGTTCTGGGAACCAGCTTCAGACACTTAAAAAAATCAAAGCTGTCAAAATGAGGATAAGCCTATTAGCAACATGGTAGTCTGGTCAGTATATGAAACCTGTTGGGTCTAGGGTAGGGTGCAGTATTGACTTTAAATTAAACCACAGAATACACACATGCAAACATCAACACACACACCACAACCACAGAATACACACATGGAAACATTAATACATGCCAGCACACATACCACAACCACAGATACACATGCAAACATCAACACACATTAGCACAACCACAGAATATACACACATGGGAACATCAACACACACAGCACACGTATGCCCTTTTGTTGACTAACAAGTGGTGAATGTCAGGTTGTAGGCTGTAAGACATCCTTGTGTCCTCTGTGGGACCGAGCTGGGGTTCGTTTTACAGTTATAAACAGAGTGTCTTATGTGACGTTAAACACCAGTAATTGTCATCAGTTATACATCCTGAAACTATTGAAAGAAGACCATCAAGCAGTGGCCTTGAGGCATGCATTGCCTGTGGTTCCTCATGAGCTCTGAGCACACCTGCTGCCTGTTGTCTGTCTTAGGAGAAGGAGGAAGAACCAGTTGTGAAAATGATGGTTGAGGACACAATCGTGATAAGGGATGACCATTTCAGTCGGCCGGTGGGGAGGACAGACACCGGCAAGGCTCCGCTGCACTCGCCCAGCCCTGCCATCCGGTATGTGGTCAAGGAGGCCTCTCTGGTTTGGCATCTTTATGGAGGAAAAGACTTTGGGGCAGGCCCTCCCTCGCCTCCAGCTAGACGTTACAGGTAAGTCATTTTCTGTGTAAGTCTGTTGGGCAGGCCAGTGGATTCTTTTCACAGAAAAAAGACACAGAGTTTATCCTCCCAAGAATGAGTAGCCACCAAATACATCATTTTATAGAAAAAAGACAGAGTTGATCCTCCCAAGAATGAGTAGCCGCCACATACATCATTTAAGCGCTCCGTGTAAAGCTTTCCATTCGTGCTTTATTCACATTGTTTGTATTTTTTCTGAAATGTGACTTCCATTCAGCAAAACTTTTCTGATACCTGCTGTGTGCCAGAGTCTGTATCAGGGGCATCCTCCTGAAAATGAGAGACACCTTTGCCCTCAGTTCGAAGGGGAGAGGCCCTCATATGAGCAGTGAGGCCAGTGTAGTGAGGTGTGCACGCCCAGAGGAGGGACCCAGCACCCATCCGGCTACCCAGCATGAGTCGCTGCTCCCTGATACAGTGCAGTGGCTGGACCAATCAGCAGAGCCCAGAGTTGGGCAGGGAGAAGGAGCTAATGGGGCAGACTTTTTTCTGGAGTGGATAGGGTTAGACACGGCCTCAGAGGTGGGAATGTGTGACCCAGTAGTTCAGCTTTTTTCTATGTAAAAATGAATTGAAAAAAACCTTAGACTAACAATTTTCTGTATCAACTGAGATTTCTTGGGCTTGAACTCTGACTGTGAAGTACTGTGAGGTCACAAGTCCCCAAACCAGGTGACTCCAAACAACAGTAGTTTATGCTGTCATTGTTAAGGAGGCTAGACATCGACATCAGGGCATCACAAGGCCACCTCCCTCTGATGGCTCTAGGGGGCCTTCTTGCCTCTTCCAGCTTGTGTGGCCCCAGCACCTTTTGTCACTGCTGGCGTGTGGCTACATCACCCAGTCTTTGCCTTGTCTTCTCATAGCTGCCCTATAAAGACACCAGCATTGGAATAAGGCCCCTACTCCAGTAAGAAAGGAGCCCTGGTGACGCAGTGGTCAAGCACTCTACCTGAGAGGTTGGTGATTCTAACCCACCAGCCGCTCTGCGGAAAGATGAGACAGTCTGCTTCCATAAAGATGACAGCCTGGAAGCCCTGTGAGGCAGTTTTACTCTGTCCTCTAGAGTCACTGGGAGTTGGAATCAACTGGACAGCAGTGGGTAACCCAGTTTGAAGGAGTCCCGGTGGCTACTAACCTAAAGTTGTGGTTCGAGCCAGCTAGTGGCTCCGTGGGAGAGAGACGTGGCCGTCTGCTTCCGTAAAGCAAACCCTGGGGACAGTTCTACTCTGTCCTGTGGGGTTGTTAGGGCTCGGATTCAACTCAGCAGCACACGTTGACTCCAGTGTGCCTAGCGTCCCGCTCCAGCGTGCTACCACTCACCTGCCCGTGTGTTGTTCTCTGGTGGCTTGTGTAGCCCGTGATGCTGGAAGCACTGCCACCAGTACTGGAGACACCAGCAGGGTTTCCCACGGTGGACGGCCTTCAGTGGGGCTTCCAGACCAAGCCAGATGGGAGGCATGGCCTGGATCCACTCAGCAAATGAGCCACTGGGAACCTCGGGGTCACAGGAGAATACTGCCCAACAGAGTGCTGGGAGACAGCCCAGGGTGGAAGACGCCACACAGCACGCGAATACCGCCCGACAGAGTGCTGGGAGACAGCCCAGGGTGGAAGACGCCACGCAACAGCGCAAAACCGTCCGACACAGTGCTGGGAGACAGCCCAATGTGGGAGACGCCATGCGGCAGCGCAGGGGCTCAAGCATAGCATCCAGCCCAAAGATGGCACAGGTCTGGGTGGGGCTTTTCCTGGTGGATCTCAGGTCACCTTGGGTCAGGGCCGACTCGATGCCGCAGGTCACCTCGGGTCAGGGTCGACTCGATGCCTCAGGTCACCTCGGGTCAGGGTCGACTCGATGCCTCAGGTCACCTTGGGTCAGGGCCGACTCAGTGGCGGCTAACAGCTGCCATCTAGTGTGACCTCATCTTAACAAATGACCTCTGCAAAGATACTGTGTCCAAAGAGGGCCCCATTGTGAGGTGAGGGGTGGACGTGCATTGCAGGGCACTATTCACGCTGGTACAGGGTCTCACTCCCAGTCTGTCCTGTGACGTGGACCCTGAGGACAGCATCATGCTTGGGTTTTTCTACCGTCCTGAACGTTCCAAGCAGATCCTTATACTAGTGGCAATGATAAAATGTCTGTTCCCTGTATCTCTACAGTTTCGGATTGGAGGCTATGGTTTCATTTATGGTAATGAAATTTGGGGTAACATTTTGGTAATTCTGTAATCTTATTTTCCTTGACTTTTTTGGATATCCTTTGAACAAAAGGGGGTTTTGTTTTGTTTTCATTTGCAGTACTCCCCACAGCTCACCTTCTCACACACCCACAAGACATGGACGTCACACGGGTTGTGGGGGCAAAGGAAGGGACCGTGACTTTTTGATGGAAATTCAGTTAAGCAAGGTGAGTGGCATTCAAGGGGCCAGTCCACATGAGTAGGAGTGTTTGTGATGGTTCCTTGCTGCCTCTGCTCACAGGGCCTGGGGCCCCTGGACTGGAAAAGTGCGTGCATTTTGCATAAAACTTAAACCGCTTCAGCTTGAGACGCTTAGAAGTTTGAGGTTGTTTGGTTGCTTTCATATGTGAGAGGTTGCTCCTCCCACTACAGCCCTCAGAAGTGAGTGAATGGCAAGACCACCTGGAAGGCCTGTCAGACACATGTCGCTGGGCCCCCCATAGACGTTCTGGTTGAACAGCACATGGGAGTCAGCGTTCTCCCAGTGATGCTGATGCTAGTGTTCCCAGGACACCCTAAGGAGCCACCGCCCTGTGGTGTCTGCCCCCAAAGGCCTGTGTCAGGCGAGCAAAAATGGCAGGTCCTGTGAGAATGTCAGAGGCCATAGGAGCAGGCCACCACCACAGAGTCTGCATGGAACTCTGTCAGCTTCTCTGGGATGTACCAAGTGTATACACTGGTGTTAAGCATTAGAATGTCTCGTAGTGATTGCAGTTCCATGTTTTGTGTTTGTCCTGTTGGAACTTGAGCTGTGCCTACGTGCATTCATTTTTAAGCAAGTCCGTAGTACACAAGGTGGGAACTGTATGCTTGATTTCAACTGAGAGAACTTTGCTTACAGAGAATGAAGGCCTTTCTCGCGGCCAAATAAGCAATGTCAGCCAGACTGTGTCCACGGGGTAGGCACACACAGATCAGTAGCTGGATCCAGGAGCAAGTCGGGGAGGGTGTGCTCTTTATTAACCCTTTCCAAGGGGCACTGGGAGCTGAGGTTGAAGTCAAAGAAGGTGATGGGTGATACTTTGCAGCATGAAGAGGAATCTAACGTAAATACTTTGTAGAGACTGTGCTGAGTTCCCTCTTGTCTGTGAAGGTGAAGTTTCAGCACGAGGTCTACCCACCTTGCCAGCCAGAGCGTGAACCGCGCCTCGTGGAGCACCCAGTCTCCCGGCAGGTGTTCATAGTCCAGGACCTGGAAATTCGAGACCGTCTGAGGACGTCCCAGATGAATAAGTTTCTGTACTTGTATTGCAGTAAAGAGATGCCGCGGAAAGCACATTCCAACATGGTGAGCTTGGGCACGTCATCATGTGTTGCCAGGTTAATTTGGAAAGTGTTTGTATGACATCAAACTGCAGGAGAGCTACTAGACTGGGGGAAATGAGGGGATTTTTTTTCCCTCATATTAATATGAAAATCTCTTTTAAATATGCTGCTTGAAGCTCTGTGTTTTCAGAATTGTTTTGCTTGTTACCTGTGGGCCCCATTACCTGTGACTGCAGTGACTGAGGGCTGAGGACACAGAAGTCCCTAGTGAGCCACACAAAGTCCTTAGTGTTGCCGGAACGTCCAGATTTCCACCCTTGTCAGATTGGTGAGGTCAAGATGGTTAGCGCAGGACTCTGGGGTCTTCAGAGTATAAGCCTCCGGGTGACCCTTGAGCACAGCACACACCTGTGAGAAGGCGGGTCCAGAGCTGCCCACCTGCGTCTCTCCTCAGCACAGATGGTGGAAGGAACGTGTAACCCACGGGAGTCGGGCTCTGGACGTTAGGAAAGAGTAAGCAGCCGTGTGTTTGCTCTCAGAGGAGAGGCACTGGATGCGTTCCTTGTCCTTTGTTTCCCAGCGAGAGTACTTAAGATACCACAGGGGAAAACGTTTGCTCCTTCTTGTCTTGTAGCTGACAATTAAGGCACTGCACGTGCGCCCTGAGTCTGGCCGGTCGCCACAGGAGTGCTGCTTACGAGTGTCACTGATGCCACTGCGCCTCAATATCGACCAGGTGTGTGTTGTGAGCACGGCTAGGGGATGTGCCTGGATGCAACGCCACGTGCCGAGTGGGAGGCTTAGCTGGGGAGGGTTAGGGTGCTTCTCGGGCAGCTTCTGTGCTGGTTGTGTAACTGGAGCAGACTTCTGCTGCTCACGAGCACAGCACTGCATCAGGGAACTGGAGTTCATAAACGCTATTCGATGTCTTCCGTCAGCCTCCTCCTCACTGTCCACCCCACAGAGGACTTAATACCTGCTTCTCACTTGCTCTCATCCGTGCAGGCATACACTTAATTCAGGTATCTATCTATTTGAGAGAATATGAAAGGACGCCATGATTGGTTGAAACAATAAAAGATTGTGTCTTCATCACAGCATCCCAGAGAGAATCCTGCCGCCCTGGGCAAAAGGGCAGGTCACACACATATACCGACATACACACTCACACACATGTACACACACACTCACACATATACACCAACATCCACACTGACACACATATTCACCCTCATGCACACACACATGTACACACACACTTCACACATACACACTCTCACACACATATACACACTCCACACATATAAGCACACACACATGTACATATATACACATACACATTTCATACATACACGCAAGCACACACACATATACACTAACACACATATTCACCCACATACACACACTCACACATGTACACACAGTTCACACATACACATACACTCTCTCACACATACACCCACATACACAGGCACATATACACATACACATTTCACACAAGCACACCCACATACATATATTCTGTAGTACATACACTTCACACATACACTCACAAGTGCACCCACATACACACACTCACACATACACATATACGCACACACAAGCACACCCAATACACATTCTAACACATACATGTATACACACACACTTCACACACTCACACATAAGCACACCCACATAGACATACTCACACACAGAGACACACACAGAGTTATTAAACATGGAGAAACTGAAAGGAAATCCACTTTGCTCTTTCTTCCAAGCATCCCAGCAAATTTGTCTGGCTTTTGCTTTGACCCAGAACTGTTGAAAACATAGTTGGTACCTTCTCAGAAATTCTACGTCTTCTAAGTGAAGAGATGATGCTCTAGGGTGGTGCCATGCGGGTGGAAAGCATGGATATGAGGCAGATCTGGGTTCAAGTCTCACTTCTCTCACCTTCACTAGTTGAGTGGCTTTGGAAGAGGTACAGAACGTCCCAAGCCTTGGTTCCCTCATTGATAAAATGGGAGAGACAGTCCCCATCATGGGTGGTGGTGGTGGTGGTGGTGGTGTTGATGTCAAGCATTCAGCATGGTGCCTAGCCCACAGCATTAAAGAATCAATGATGATAAGCATAAAGGAACTCTGGTGGCACAGTGCTTAGAGCACTTGGCTGCAAACTGAAAGGTCAACGGTTGGAACCCACTAGCTGCTTCATGGGAGAAAAATGAAGCAGTCTACTTCTGTAAAGATTAGTTTTGGAAACCCTACGGGACAGCTCTTCTCTGTCCTGTGAGTTGGAATCAACTCAATGGCAGGGGGTTTGGTTTTTTGGAATGTTAATTGCTGTACCTGTTGACAGATGCTAGAACTGAAGAACATACCTGGAGTTTTGCTTTAAAGGAACAGCCCCTCTTGTTACCCGTGCACACACCAAGGTTTGCAGGTAGAGGGTTTATGCTTGTACCAGTATTACTCCTTGCTTAATGATGACTGAGTAACGTTCAGTATTGATTACTTATTCAAATAAAACTTAGTTACTTTAGTCAATCCATTAAAAATATTTCAGGATAAACATGGAGAGTGTTTATACTGCAAACACAATGTAGATAGGTGCGGTCTTGGACACCATGTGTTGGGAAGCACAGAGCTAGCCTAACTCTCGCCTAACTTCATACTAAGCTGCCAGGGGTAGCTCCTGCACCGAGTCACAGTTGCCAGTGAGGACTGGATTGATGCCTTCTCATGATGAGAAGAATATCTGTTCATAGCCACCTTTCAGTCTGAAGTACTTACTGGAAAGTTGGTCTGTGGAAGCCACCTGTGTGAACAGAGCTTCCAGCACGATAGATCCTCACCGTACCACTCACCAGGCTTCTTGTCCTTAGGTGCCGTCGAGTCAGCTTCAACTCATAGACATTTGCCTACAGAACGAAATCCTGCCCAGTCTGCGCCAGCCTCATAATAGTGGACATGCTTGAGCACGTTGTCACAGCCACTGTGTCCGTCCACCTTGTTGAGGGCCTCCCGTTTCTTGCTGACCTTCTTCTTTACTAAGCGTGGTATCCTTCTCCAGGGACTAGTCCCTCGAGACAAAGGCTGGCCATTCTTGCTTCTAGGGAACATTCTGGCTACAACTTCCCAGACAGATTTGTTCGTTCTTCTGGCAGCCCATGGTATACTCAATATTCTTCTCCACCGCAATTCAAATGCATCATTTCTGCAGTCTTCCTTGTTCATTGTCCAGCTTTCACATGCATATGAGGCTATTGAAAAGACAATAACTTGGGCCAGGTGCACCCTAGTCTTCAAAGTGACATCTCTGCTCCTCAACACTTTAAAGAGGTCTTTTACCACAGATTTGCCCAGTGCAATACATACTCTGATTTCTTGACTGCTGCTTCCTTAGGTGTTGATTGTTGCAAAAAGGACATGGAGGCAGCATCTTCTGAACTCTTCCAACTTCACAAGAGGAAGACAGAATCACCATCAGCAGCCCAAGGCTTATTCCTATGAGACCAGATGTGCTGCCACCCTCCAGCCTTTTTACCAATTTTGACACTAACTGTCTTTGCATGGTACTCACTACTTCTCTACTAGGTTTGATTATTCATTGCAGTGGCCACACAGAATTCACAGACAATACTTACAATTATGGGTTTATTACCCAGAGGGGTTAGGAACAACTAAGGAAAACAAACTTATCTGTCAGTTTGTTGTGCTTTGGTGGCTTACGTGTAGAGGCTGGAGGCTATACTACCATGTTGCAAAATGCTGCAGAGTTACCCATGGTGGGCAGGTGTCAGTGGAGCTTCTGGTCTAAGACAGACTCAGAAGAAGGGAGAGGCCATCCACTTCTCAAACAATTGGCCAGTGAAAACCTTGTAAATAGCAGTGAAACACAGTTTGGTATATTACCAGAAAACTTTATGAACAGCCCTGAAACATTGTCCAACATAGTGCTGGAAGATGAGCCCATCAGGTCAGAAGGCACAAAATTTGACAGGGGAAGAGCTGACTCCTCAGAATAGAGATGACCCTAACAATATGCATAGAGTACAGCTTTTGGGACCTCCATCAGCTGATGTGGCATTCAAAATGAGTACAAAGAGATGCAGACATCCATTAATAATTGGAACACAGAATGCACAAAGTATGAATCTAGGAAAATTGGAAGTTGTCAGAAATGAAATAGAATGCATAAAGATTGATATCCTAGGCATTAGGGAGCTAAAATGTATTGGTTTGGGCCATTTTGAATCAACCACATGATCTGCTATGCCAGGAATGACATTTTGAAAAGGAATGGCATGGCATTCATCATCACAAAGAATATTACAAGATCTGTCCTGGAAGTACAGTGCTCCCAGTGATAAGATAATATCCATATGCCTGCAAGGAAGACCAGTTAACACTACTATTATTCAAATTTATGCACTAACCACCAAAGCCAAAGATTAAGAAATTGAAGATTTCTTCTAATTTCTGCAGTCTGAAATTGGTCAAACATGCAATCAAGATGTGTTGATTATCACTGGTGACTGGAATGCAAAAGTAGGAAACAAAGAAGAGTTATCTATAGTTGGAAAATACAACCTTGGAGATAGAAATAACCCTGGAGATTGCATGACAGAATTTTGCAAGACCAATGACTTATTCATTGCAAACACCTTTTTTCAACAATGTAAGTGATGACTATACATGTGGCGTTCACCAGATGGAATACACAGGAATCAGATTGACTACATCTGTGGCAAGAGGCGATGGAGAAGTTCAATATCTTCAACCAAAACAAGGCTGTAAAAACGGCAAGGAGGCCACATGTTCTGACCTCCTCTAATCCTACAAGAGGAAGACAGGATTACCAGCAGTAACCCAAGGCCTATTCCTACAAGGCCAGACATGCTGCCTCCCTCCAGCCCTTTCACCAACCGTTCCTCCCAAAGCACCCACCACCTCTCCTCTGGGTTCAATAATTTGCTGCAGTGGCC